TTCCACGTGAAAAATTTATACAATCAAACACAATAATTTACAATTTTCATGAAAACAATTTCTAGGTAATTCAATTCCCTGAAATTCATTTTCTTTCCATGTAATTTTCCTACTTGTAATCAGCAGCTCTGTTAGTGTTCTTCCGAGAGTTAGAGAGAAGCTTATTGAATTAGAAGAAGCCAAAAGTAGGAGAAACAAGATAACTTGGACCGCTACTTCTTTTGGTCTTGACTTTTTAACCTACTCAGTAGAGGATGATCCTAGTACTTCTAGTGAAGTTATGTCTTTACCAGATTCTATATTTTGGAAGGAAGCTATAAATAGTAAATAAGATTCCATTATGTCTAATTATGCTTGGGAGTTAGTAGACTTACCTTAAGGAAGTAAGACCATTGAATGTAGATGGTTGCTTAAGAAAAAAATTATCTTGATGGTTTGGTTTATATGTTTAAAGCAAGACTTGTAGCAAAAGGTTACAGACAAAAAACGAAAGAGTTAACTTATTTGATACTTATTCACATGTTACTAAGATTATCCCTATGAGAATGTTGATTGCAATTGCTTCATTATATGATCTTATTATTTATCAAATGGATGTTAAAACTGTATTTTTAAATAGACACGTAAAAGATGATATTTATGTAGAACAGCCTAAGGGATTTGCTATAGAAGGCATTGATGATAAAGTATGCAAGCTTAAAAAACTCTCCATGGCTCCTAAACAAGCTCCTAAATAATGACATGAAAACTTTGATACAGTATTGATATTTAGTGGTTATGTGATAATGAAGCAGGGAAATGTATATACTGCAAATTTGAAAATAATTGTGGTGTGATAATTTGCTTATATGTTGATGATATATTGATTATACGAACTAGTTTAGATGTGATAAATAAGACCAAACAGTTTCTGAAAAAGCACTTTGAAATAAAAGATTTGGGTGTTGATGGTATTATTCTAGGAATTAAAATAATAACATTCTGAAGGAATTACTTTAACCCAATCACATTACGTAGAAATAGTACTTAAAAATTTGGTCAATACAATTGTGTTTTTGCTAAAACAACTTATGATGTAAGTCGTCATTCGAGAAAATATTCAGGTCCCAGTGTTTCTGCCTTAGAATATGCTAGAGTAATCGATGGTTTCATGTATCTCATGAACTATACGAGACCTGATATAGCATATGCGATCGGTAGACTTAGCATGTGTACTAATAATCCTAATAGATAACATTAGGATGCTCTTATTCGACTCTTAAGGTAATTTAGATACACTCTAGACTAGGGAATACATTATACTAAATTTTTTGTTGTATTTGAGGGATATTGTGATGGAATTAATTGATGGTCACTGAACTTAGGTTCATATCTTTGATTGGTCACTGAAGTTTAAAATATCGAGTTTTAGTCATTAAACTTAGGTGCATATCTTCGATTGCTTACTAAAATTTAAAAAGTCGAGTTTTGATTACTAAATTTTGAAAAATGTTGTACATTACTCACTAGCATAAATGTTGAACTTTGAAAAATATTGAGTTTACAGTGAGTAATGTATGATATTTTTCAAAGTTTAGTGGCCAAAACTCGACATTTCACACTTCAGTGAGTAATCGAAGGCATGCACCTAAATTCAGTGATTATAACTTGACATTTTAAACTTCAGTTACAATTAAAGATATGGACCTAAGTTTAGTGACCATTAGAACAATTAACTCTATTGTGACACTAATTGGATTTCTAATAATAATGCAAGTAAATCTTCCAGTTGATATGTATTTATATTAGTAAGAGATGCTGTATTTTGGAAATTCACTAAACAAATCTACAATGCAAGATCTACTACAAAGCTAGAGTTCATAGCTTTAGATAAGGTAGATGAAGATGCTGAATGGTTCAGGAATTTCCTTATTGATATTCCTTAGTGGTGTAAACCACTTCCAGCTATTTCTGCCCATTGTGATAGTCAAACAACTATTTCAAGAGCCAAAGATTCATCCTATAATAAAAATCTAGACATATTCGTAGGAGGTACAATGCTGTTGTCTACTATTTTAAGATATTGTTATAGCTATTGATTATGTGAAGTCAAGTGATAATATTGCTGACCTATTAATCAAAGAATTAGCTAGAGAGCTAGTTCTAAAAACATCGAGAAGGACGAAGCTAAAGCCTATTACACACTAGATTACTTATATGGAAACTCAATTTTGCGATTGGAGATCTTATGGACAAAGTTCAATAGGACAACAAAATTATTGGAGTGGTCTATGAGTGTACTACATTGGATTTATTACAAATTCCCCATGATGCATAATAACAGTTGTATTGATTATATAATGAGCAAATACCCTTAATATTTAATATATTTGATATTCAATGGGGGTGTATAGATACAATGCACCCTTCGTAGAAGTACCTATTTGAGTATAGAAGTAAGGTCGCTTCCTTGAGAATTGAGGTTAATTTTCTAGAGCTTTCAAAGAATCTAGAGAAGTCTACGGTTGAAATGAACACAATTGTGAGAATTCAATGATTGTTTTAGAAGTGATGCATGTGCTCTATTATTTCAGTTTACAACCATAATTGTAGAATTTAAGACATAGTTCACCCTACAGTTAGCAAACTCAATGGAATATACAAAGTCAAGGTTTAAGTACATAAACATGGAAACCTGTTTGATTTCTACTGTCCACTAGATTAATATTTATATTTATCTTATTTCTTTCATATGAGGGATTGTTAAGTATTATTATGATAAATATATTATTTGAAAAAAAACAATTAAAGTAGACAAAGTGCCCAGTTGGTGAAAAATGTAGAATTTATGTGGGGGTTGGAGCTTTGATTCGCTGTCCATGTGATTATTAAAATGTCTATGATTGGGCTTTGACTCTTGGGCTTTTTTGATTAAAATAATATTTTTTATTTATTGTAATCATTTTTGGATTTATTTATTTTTTGGTCAAACTAGCCAATAACATGAATGTTGGGCTGTTATTAACAACCCACAAAAATTGCTATCATGCCCATAAAAACTGCAATCATGGTGGAGACAGTTAATTCTTTTGTAGTCATTTAAACACGTGTTTGTTATTTGGAAAAACATATTAAGAAACGGAATATCATTTTTTTTTTATATTGTGATTTTTCATATTTGATATTTTTCTTATTCATTTTTTCTGAAGCATATTCGAGGGTTTTGAAATCATTTGTGATTGCTGCATTAGTGATTTGATCGTTATATCTAGAGAGTGATTGTTCAAAGAGGTCGTAGCAATTAACAGCGAGCAATTTCACTTGAATACATCGTGCTGTCACAAGACTCGATCAGTTGATACACTTTATTTTCTATATTTTACTATTCTGCATGTTTTTGCAAATTATTGCAACTAGTTATTTTCCAACACTTGCCTCATATAAAATATTTTCTTCCAACAAACACTTTCGATGCCATTTATTCTAGAAAAAACTCTAATAGAATCATGATCTGCAGTAAACATTTCCTAAACTTCTTGGCAATTTTTTTGTGTTTTTTGGTAATAGATTTTGTCTACGGATAGACACCATTCATGCCAATGTAGTGCTAAAATATTTTGATACTATAATTTCCTTCGACGACAATTTTAAGTTGAGATTTTGTAGCCCTAATGGTGCTACTCGGCGTTACTTGGGGATATGACTAGGATGAAGGATGAAAATGGGTTGAAAGTGTTGGTGACAATGGCTTTTGAAGTGGAGGATGGATGGCGGCATAGGTCTAGGAGGGGTGTGGTAAAAAATGGAGAGTGGTTCACCATTGATATGCAGTGGTAGGATCTGTGTCGGCAATGTACAATGGTTAATATACAGTATGTGTAGTGATAGGATCTATGCAACAGTATGATCTACGGGCGGTGATGTGCAACATTTGATGGTTGTTTGGTTATTGAATGACGGAACAATGGTCGTTGGGTAGGATAATGGACAAGTGATGTGAACTTGAGAGTGGTCAATGTGATTGAATGTGGACTGTTGGCGACTCGAGATGATGTGAGTTTGAGTTATTGGGTGTGGGGTTGCTATGGGTGATTCGTGTGGTCAATCAGCGTTAGGCAAGCGATAGTAAAAAAGGTTTGTGGTGGTAGTGAGATGATATCGACTTTTAGTGGTGGGACGGAATGGGTCGGATGAAGAGCGATTGTGATCAACTGTTGGATTATTCTTACCAATAAAATAAATAAATTGTGAAGAATAAGTAATACATGATCTAAAAAATATGTGATTTATGACTAAATTAGTAATTTTGATGTACAATTTGCTTTATGACCATGACCAATTTACTTTGATAATTTGTAACCGTTAAATAAGTTGTGATAACTTAATTTGATAATTTATGATCAACAAATAACTTGTTACTAAATAATTTAATAATTCATGACTTATAAAGTTTGTGATTTGTCATCGAAAAATAATTCTTGATTAATAAATTTTATAAATTGTGGTTGAGAAATATTTTGTAACAAATTGATTTATCAATTTGTAATTGTGAAATAAGTTGTGATCTATAAAATTTATAATTTGTGATCGAAAAGTAAATTGTGATCAATTAATTTCGATAAACTGGGACTTATAAAATTT